ACAGGCCAGTGAGCACAGAGCTGCAATACCAGGAAGAGCTCTCCGTTTGGTGGTGTTGGGTTGCCAAATTCACTGAGTTTTAGGAACGGGAAATCTAAGCAAGGGCTCCGACAGAGAAATAAAGATGAAAACATAGTACCTTGAACAAAATCTATCATAATCCTAATTTTCTGGGTCTAGTTTTCATCACTGTAAAAATCTCAAAAGGAACAAAGATCTCCCTACACCAATGCCATAGTGCAAGTTGTTTAAGATCACCTTTGACTTCTACACAGAAGAAACTAACAAGAAGTTAGCTGATTTGATGAAACTCACAAAACAGGTCCAAGTTATGAAAACCCACAGCCCTTTGAAATGCCACACAATTAACAATTCACAAGGATTGGATAGGCTCAAAGCCTTTCATTTAATGGAAAAAAAGAAAGATAGCAAATCATGCCTATTTACAAAGGACAGAGCAGGCACAGGAAACAGTGAAACACACAGACCACTTGTACCCGGAATAACAGTAGAACCATGTTTAAGAGTGGCCACTATCTACTGACCTAAGGGTACTTTCTTAAGCAGGAAGAGTATGACCTACTTTGAGAGTATGACATTTATTATGAAAAAATTTCCAGTATGTCTGACACCTACATTTGGTTAAACAAAATGTAAACAAACACAAAAGCAAAGCATTAGAAAGCCACGAAAAAACTGCAGTTAATATAGCCGTAAGAAATAAGTGGTACAGCTTTGGAAAGAACAGAGTGTTTCAGGCAATCATGATAAATTTTTTTCTAGGAAAACCATGTGATTGGTGGGGTGAAATAAGTCACTGCTGTTGACCACGTTCATGAGTAGTAAAAGCAAAGTCAGATAGATCACTGGAAGAATGTTATTAGAAATTCTGAAATTTAACAATTTATCGATGTTGTTCCCTACCAATTACAATATTCTTCCCTTTACGGATTGCCTCTCCATGCTAACTTTGAACATCTTTGTCTTTTGGGTGTATTTGTTTTTGCATTTATGTCCTGTGGTATGCTACAGAATGTTCCAGTCCAACTGCAAATAATCTGTCAGTGTTCTTATAGTTTTCCATTTATTTGAATTTGGGAGTAAGACACTTGCTGTAGTACTTGGTAAATCTTATTTGCAAAGCATAGTCAAATAGAGCCTGACATGACTACTGTTCCTTATTATAATCATAAACCATAAGGTGATGATAAATGAAAATGAATGCAATGTGGAAGAAGTATATCAAAGATAATATTCATCAAGGATTTTTTTAGTGCTTTCAAGAATGACTTGGAAAGTGGGCCTATTACTGAAAACTTTATTGGTAAGATGAGCTCTAAGGTGAATGAGGTTTACAGAATCACATGAGCCCAGTTCCCTGAAGGTTCCACATTTGAAATTCCTATAATCTCTTAAATTATAGAAAGGATGTGTTTGGTGTTGACTACAAGTAGATTAGAACAGAGTGAGAAAAAGAAACCAGATTCTTATCTTGCTCAGTTTGCATTTACTGAGATCACTGAATTTCACCACCTTGCAAATTATCTTCTTTTACTAAAACCTATCAGCTGATTTCCTCATTTAGAAAATATAATCATAAGCAAGTCCAAAATGTTTAATCATTTCACACCACCTGGACACAGAGAAAAATCCCTCCAACTTCACCGTTTTTGAAGTTTTTCAAATAAATCCTATGAACTGTAGCTGAAATACTGCTGGTAGCCCTACCCATAAGCCTTAACCCCAGAGGCTGAAGTTGCCAGAAAGACCTGGGTAGTGAGCCTCTGCTTAATTCCCTAGCTGTTGAGTGATTATTGCTAACTCAACAGTCTGTCAGAGCGCCTCGTGAAGATTTGTGTTCATTTTTCCACTCTCTTTATTAGATGTAAGTGGTGTCTGCTTGCTGGAGACCAGTTTCTCTATTGCGGTCTTTTGTACTTTTCAACGGTTGTTGATCTCCAGAAAACAGGTACATGTTGAGTGGGCAGTTAATGGCAACAGCACTGTTCTTCTGCCCCACGCTCCCAGGACTGATCACCTCCTTGGTGTACTCCTCTCCAGTGGCTCTTCTCACTTTGATTACTTGCTTAAATATCTGTCTGCCTTACTATACTATGAATCCTTTTGCACACAGATTCATTCATCTTTCTATTTGCAGTCCCTATGTCTGATACACTGTTAAATCAGGACATTTTATTTCAATGGGTCAAAATTTCTCTTCATGTCACTGACTCTTATGTTATAGATATGTTTTACTTTTAAGATACAATTTTACTGTCCTTTTTTGTATGAACCCTAATGTCCACAGCAAAATTTCAGCAATATTATAAAGATTCAACATCAGTATAATCAATACTGAGATTGAAAAAAGTCATTCCAGTGAAGCACTTCTTACTGGAATCAGACAGTTGGAGTGATTGGAAGCAAAATGTAAATTTAACTCAGCAAAGTTTTCCCCATCCAAATTGACAGCCATAATCTTCAATGTTTTACTGAACCAATCTCACTGGCATTTCAAAATATAGCACTGGGATTTTAGGGCAGCAAACTATTCTGTATGATACTCTAATGGTGGATTCTATATTTGTCAAAACCCATAGTAGGTACAACATCATCAGTAAACTGTAATGTCAACTAAGGACTTTGGGTAATAATGTGTCATTGTAGGTTACTCATCAATTCAACAATTATACTACACAAATGTGGGGTGTTGATGGAGAGGGAGGCTGTGGGGATGGAGGGAATATGTGAGAACTAGATGTACTTTCCAGTCAATTTTGCTTGTAAACCTAAAACTTCTCTAAAAACAAAGTCTACTATTTTTTTAAAAAAAAAGATTACACTAAAACCACACAAAGTATTTCTTTTCTTAGGACTTCAACCTAGTTACTTAAGTACAATTTCACAGGGGAAGTATACAACCAGGTTATGTCTGTAAGAGCCACTGTCTCTTCTATTGGCTTTTATTAAATCCTCTACAGGGTCAGCCAAAGTCATTGACACAGTGAAGTTACTATGATCATTTCTCTTTTCTTAGTGAATTTCACCAAGCCAGTGACATTCACTACGTTAGTGATAAGGAACTTCCAGGGCCCGGGTATGGGCCGGTCAGCCCTTGCCTGCTGATCACCGAATCCGCCCCGGCTCTGCGACCCCCGGGGGAGCAGCTGTGCTGCTGTGCCAGGAAGGCTGCTCCCACAGCGAAACGTGGTACAGGAATTTCAGATGGACCCCCTCTACCAGGAACTTAATTCTCTTTTGAGGCTGGGAAGTATGCAATTGTAATTACTTGCAAGTGCTTGAATTTGAAATTATTTATTGGGGTAGCAAAGGTTGAAAATTTAAAGAACTATTGATATGTAAGGGGAATGTTTGCTCCTCTCTCAGACCAGTTTCCTAATGTGCTGTCAAGAGAACATTATTTCTGCAAATGATTTTCCCTACCTTACAAGGCTGCAGTCCCCAAAACTGTTAGGGAAACTGCCACATGTTCTCCCATCCTTTGAAAGAATGACAAATGCATATTAACATTATATAAAGGTTCTCAGAAGATCTGCATTGATCAGTTTAAGAACCTGACGTTACTTTACATTTCCCAAACCTATGTGGGTCCTTTTCTGCTGCCACCGTCATCCTTATGTTGCTTATTTACATCCAAAGAACTATTACTGCAGAAATATACTTGAAAAATTGTCAGTGCATTTAGCTAACAATAACAGTGAGCCATCAAATGATGCTTGCTGTATACAATATATATTCATGACAGTGTGGTAAGTGAACTTTAAAATATGATAAATGTGATTCCTTCAAATATTTTTTATTCTGATGATAGAACCAAGATAGGAAAAGTAATATTCACTTCCCTTTTGTCCACTTTACCTAATATCATCAGAAGCCTTCCTAAGTAAAATCTACTTTCTTTTTGAAGGGCAGAAACCAAAGGAGATTTAATTGTTTATGTTTAAATTAATAATTAAAATTTTTAGTAATTAAATGACTAATAATTAAAGGTTGAATTGGACATTCTATAAATAAACCACACTATACATATAAACTCTATAAGAGCTTTCACTATACTACTCCTCTGCCCTGATCAGTGATCAGTTATCTTATTCCTTGGGTTTTTCTTTTTTGATTTTTAATCTTAATTAAAGTTACACTCTCTCTCTCCAGAGATACTGCCAAAGTTCGGAAGATCATTGCCTAACAGGACACATTACCAACCCGTCCAAATATACTCTTATTATATCTTGAGCAGTTTTCCCTCTGATAGTGTGTGATTCTTTAGTATCAATATATTTGTATAGTACATCATATTTTTGTATTATCTATATTTTATTTATTTTTAATTTTGTTTTAATTTTGCTTTATTCTTATCCTGGTAACATACCCCCAAAAAGTCAGTTTGATATGTTAATTATATTCTCAATAAATAGTAAAATCCATGGCCCCTTTAAAATCATCTTGTATGTTACCAATAGAATGTCTAACACATACCTTGGAAGGCATAACAGGGAAATTTCTTGCCATGGAATTAAGGGATGAGAGTTGGAGAGGGGAAAAATTAAGGCAATCTGTCATAACTCTCCTAATATTTGCACAAATCATCAAACAACAAATATTTGTTTACATTACTTCCTGAAGGGAAAAAAGAACTCTTTTAAATATTGTGACCACTAAATTTTATAGTCAAGGACTATACAAAGCATTGAGAATGTAAGTCCCTAATACTGAGTTTGTATGTGAGTGACAACAAAAGCACCACATGAAACATTCCATTAAAATACGTAATTTTATAAAGAACCAAGCATCCCCCAGAACTGATGCTGCTAATGCTTAGACATGTGACATGTGTGTGCACCTCGGCACATTTGATTTTCTTTCTTTCTTATCAAGTGACCTACTCTCATTTGGTTAAGTTTCAACCACAGAACACCACTGTACTTATTTTTTTCAATATACACGTCATGACACATCAAGAAAGAGGGAACTTCCAGTGTCTGCGGTAACATCATTTCATAAACAGTCTCGTTTGAATAGCAGGAGCCTGTTCGCCTTTACTATATAAAGCAGCACAGACACTGACCAGCAGATATTTGCCGGGTGAGGACTATGAGGGCAGCAGCCACCTCCATGCCCAGGTTAGATAAAATGCCAGGAATGTTCTTCCCTGACAATCCAAAGGAACTGAAAAGAACTGACCACTCTCTTCTAGAGGACAAAAGACAAAAAAGGAGGCCAAAGACTTTGTAAGTGCATTCAGTGTCTCGCTTTGTGGATTTTGACTTAAATTGTCCTTGATGGCAGGACTGAGAATGCATGCAAGAATATATGAGCATTTAGTTTAGCTAGATCAGTTACCTGTTGTAAGTTGTAAGTATATTCAGTTGTATTAAAAAATGAATCACGATAGGGCTTTACATCCAGACTTTGGATCATAAAAATTGGTTCAATTTTAATAGAGCAAAATATTGTATCAACTATTTTTATTATTGCCTTTTTCCTTAGAGAAGTGTATTTCATACTCTTTTTACAAATGAAATGTATTCTACTGAGGAAATATGAATTTCCACTTTTGTGTCTTTTGTAGTGGAATGGATGTGAAAGCATACTTGAGATCTATGATTCCACATCTGGAATCTGGAATGAATCCTTCTAAATCCAAGGACATGTATGTATACCTATACATTGAACTATCATTCCTACAGTAGCCTATGCATTAGCTCTTCTTTTAGTAAGAGATTATTACTGCCCATAATGGACTTCATTTATTTTAAGTAATAAGCCAAATAAGATTAGACCACATTAGTACCAATATAAATTAAATAAAAAATGTGTGTGCATGTATTTTCTATTTTTTATACTGTTGGAGTATATGCATTTGGGTCTTTTCATATTTTATTTGGAGATATTTTTATAACTATAGTAAGTCTAAGGGAAATTTTATAGATAAATTTTAATATAATTTATAGAACTGACATCTTAGTTTGTGGAATTATCAAGATGCAGCAGCCATTCTGCCTGATTTCATTTGAGTTTACACAAAATATATTTTACTAATTTATGTGAAATTTGTCCCCTTCAGACTCTCTGCTAATGAAGTAATGCAGTGGTCCCAATCTTTGGAAAAACTTCTTGCCAACCAAAGTAAGTATAGATTAACTGTTGAACGTTTCTGGTTCAGCTCAACATGCTAATGGATTGCATGACTTCACCGCAATACAGTATTCCAGGTAGGAGAGTATGTGAAAAGGTGTATTCTAGTTTTTCTGCAGTCCTTGATAGCATCAGCATATTATGCCTTATTATAGTGTAATATTGATTTGGCACTTAGTTCTGCCAGTGTCTTTGTGACGAATTTGCCAAGACAATTAGGCATTTCCATATTTCCATGGATCATTACAGGAGCAAAATTTAAAATGATGCTAGGCTTCTGACGTGCAGTTTTTAAAAGTAAACCAAATATTTCAACAAGTGAACTGCGTTCTTGAAAGCTATCTGAAGAATACATTTTTGTACAATTGGATGTAAGGAGTAGGTCGATTGTTTTATCATTATGAATTCATTAAGTCACTCATTCAGCCGACTTTCATATGGCCGGCATTTTAGCACAAAAGATTCAAAAACAAAGACACGGTGCCGTACCCCTTGAAGGCAGTTGAGACATATAGTATATATTGACATTTAATATGACTTGACATATGTTATAACACAGACATGATAAAAAGAATTTTTGAAGAGTATTGTAGGGAGCTTCTAATGAGAGAAGGTTAAGAATGAAGTAAGCTTGCCTTTCCCTCATCTTGGGTAATTAAATCTATTGGAATTAAGACCTTGTGCAGAGATCTGGATGGTCTTGGTCTGTATCTAGAGGGTGAGCTTGTCCTCTCCCAACAAAAACTCTAAGGAGCCTTGCTTGGGGATCAAGTAGCTCAATCTTGTTCATCCATCTTCTTGTCTGACTTAGTTTACAATCCAGTCAAACAAATAAGTGGCATAGAAATGGCCCATTTAAAAGTCTCTGGAACTCTAGCAAATATAATCAGTATATTGGCATAAAGATAACATAGGCCTTGCATCTTCTGACTATCTGCATTGGATGGGGAAATTTCATTTTTTAATGAATGACAAGATCTCAATGCCCTTTATCAATGTTTACATCCCTAAAATATTATACAGTCTAGCTAAGAATTGGTATTCATAAGACAAGAGATTGTTTTGAAATCAGCAAAGCAGAATTTTAATTTAATTAGAGATGGAAGAAAAGCACAGTTCCATAGCCACCTCTAGGCAGCTATGCGACTGTGGACAGCTTGTCTGGCCCCAGATAAACTATAAATGAAGGGACCTCTAAGGTCTTCCCATCTCTATAAACTGTGACACAGCTATTGCAGCAGCAGCCACCTCTTACCTGTGTATATAGAGAATGCAATGGTATTTTTCTTGAAAATTTCTTCTTCACGTTATTCATTTATTGACTCAATTGATTAAATTATCTCATCTCTCCTTTCTTTTCAGCTGGTCAAGATGTCTTTGGAAATTTCCTGAAGTCTGAGTTCAGTGAGGAGAACATTGAGTTCTGGTTGGCTTGTGAAGACTATAAAAAAACAGAGTCTGATCTTTTGCATTGCAAAGCAGAGAAAATATATAAAGCATTTGTGCACTCAGATGCTGCTAAACAAGTGAGTATCAAGTTTATTATCATCAGTTTATGTACAAAGGATCTTAGATACAGAAATAATATTCAACAAACCTAGCAAAATGAAATTTAATATTGAGTATTATGATTTCACTGCTATATATTTAGGTTTGTTCATATAGTTCAGTGCAATGGTAATCTAATTTTTTATATTTATGAATATTTGAACACAGTAGGATACAAAGATTGACTGTGCAAAACTAGGTAATATGATGGGGTGGGGTAAGGACTACTAGTATAACTGGCCAGAATTGCATGTCAAGGTGTCCTTAATGAGCTAGCTCATCTTAGGTTAGGATAAAGTATAGATCAGGGTAATACATACAGTTGCAGCTGCAAAAATATTTGCAGTTAGTAGTGCCCACCTTCCAGTTAAATATTCTTGGTTCAAGCAGAAAATAGCTGCATAAGGTGCTCTCTCTTCCTGGAAATCCTGAATGTCAACATCACTTTTTTTTTCGATGCATGTGTCAGCTTGTATGGACACTGAAATTTTTCATATCTACCTCTTTTGCATCTCCCAACTATGCCCTCAGCCAACTTTGAGCAAAGAATTTTTTGTGCTATTTATTTTTGCTGTCTCCTCACCTGATAGCTGCTTTAGGATGGCAATTCAAGAGATGTTTGAACTGACAAACATGAGAGCTTAAAGCCATTGCCATGAGGTACTTCAAAAAACACAACATCATAAAATGTGTAAGAAATTGGAATTCCTGTTAACTAATTAGTATTTCTTTTAGATCAACATTGACTTTCGCACTCGAGAATCTACAGCCAAGAAGATTAAAGCGCCAACCCCCACGTGTTTTGATGAAGCACAGAAAGTCATATATACTCTTATGGAAAAGGACTCCTACCCCAGATTTCTCAAATCAAATATTTACTTAAATCTTCTCAATGACCTTCAGGCTAATAGTCTAAAGTGACCAGTTCCTGGCTGGAGGGGATTCCAGATGGCATCACTTACAGAGGGACTGTGCCGGAACGACTCCCTTGGGGGATGGTGTGGCCTTTTTGGGTGACTGGACAGGCCCAGGGGAATAACAAATGACTCAGGATGGATGAGCAGGACAGTTGTCTGGGTTCAGGGTTGAAGAAACATGAGCAGGATAAAACCTGGATGTGGAAGGAAGAGGATGCTGTGGTACCATCGTCAACACAGGGACCCACACACAAGAAAACCCCCTGAACCGAGGTGACCCAGTAACTCCAGTCACACAGAAACTGTGAATAAAGGTTTTGAAACTGATTAAAACATGCTGTACGTTTCAAGAACAAGTTGACATTGATGCTGCATATTATATAGAGACTGTTCTGAGCTGCTGAAATCTTGAGCTTGGGTGACTCTGAAAAGTATGTTTTAGACTCACCATTTGCTGTTATTGACAGGATGTTTTTTGGTGTTTTGTTTGGTTGTTTGTGGCTTGAAAGAGATGAAGAAGAGAACAGTGTATTTAACTTAAGCTATTGCTCTTAAAACTGGGAAGCCAGAATATATTTGTAAATTAAGTTATCACAGTGTCAATAATAAATATGAGTTTTGTATTAAAAATATAAAGAAGCAATTTCTGTTTACATTTCCTTGACATTTTTAAAAAGTGGCATTAATTCCTCAGATCAGGCAAAAATTCAAATAGGTTCTACTTTCTGTCTCTTCAACATCTAAAACTATTATCTAATGTGTGTATGTATTAGAATTCAATAGTTTTCTCTTTTCTATTAAAATTCATAAAAATCAAACATAAAATGCCTTCATATAGTCAAGCCTCAGACTGGGGAGAAATTGAAAAAGTTTTTAAAAAGGGATGGAAAAGTTATTTCAAGAAGTGATCTAATTAACAACTTATACTCTATAGTGATTTAAAGTTCATAAAACTCGGATGTATTTTCTCATTTGGTGTTCACAACGATCCTGTGAAAGCTGAACCTCAGAAAGATTAAATCACTAGTTCCCAAATTTAGATAACAACCAAAATTACCTAGAATGTTAAAAACTAGAACAAGATACCTATTTCAGGGCCCTATCCCAAACTGACTGAATCAGAATCTCCCAAGGATATGGTATTAGAAATATATTTTTTAAAAGAAACCAAAGATGATTCTGAAGATGCTCTGATAATCCAGGGCTGGAAACCAATCGTACCCAAATCTCTGATTACAATGTGTGCTCTTTCCACAAGGTGACACTGCCCCCTTCTGACAAGAAGACATTTCCTAAATCACTCAAGCCTGCAGCAGTACTAAGCCTCATCACCTAAGTAGGAAAATGAGACTGCTCTGACAGGGATCACTTACAGAAAGCAGAACAATAATCAAGATGATGTATATTCCAGAAATCCTGCATGGCGCATCTTCCCATGAACCTGTGTTCCATATCTCATTGAATACCCAGGCATCCACACACCAGGATGAAATCCTATGGATATTCTCAGTACAGGCTTGCCCAGTAAACAAGTAGTTATGGGGTGTTAAGAAGAAATGCGAAGAATACATACTTCTGAAAAGTGTCTGGACTTAACATTTGGGTCATCTAAAACAAAGACATGATTTACAGTCCATAGGGCAAACATTGTTCATCTGTTTTGTCTCAGGAGTTGTGCCTAACTATCTTGTGCCTAAGTAATAATCAAATATCCCATACCATCTATTTCTGTATGTACTATTGGGTAGAATGTAGCTATTCGACATCATAACTTATATCCTTTGTTAGAAAACATATATGACCTTGTGAGAAAGCCCTCCTGTCCAGAGCACTTTTCTTCTTTGGAAAGACTGTTTCCCAGGTGGCTGTCCTACACCCAGGCTCACATAAAATTATAACTCTTTTCTGGGTTCCACTCTAAGATTTGCTTTTCATCAACAGGGGCAATATGTAGATCAGATTTTAAAAGTATTATTCTTGAGTTCCTGTGGGACAGAGTCCCAGTTAGCTCTGCTTTAAGCTTTAGTCCATGGTTTAGCAGGTCAAGAGAAGCTTATGAAGGGAGTTCAGTTTCCTAACAGTAATAATACTTGGGTGTTTCTCTCTCTTACTCATTCTCTCTCCAGCTTCTGTCAGTCCTCCCCGTGGAATCGGTCTGTGTAGTGGGCATGTCTGTCGCTGCGGCTCTAGCCCAGGCTCTCATTGCTTGTTCATTCATGTGGTTGGTTTCCCTTTCTAGCCTCTTCTCTTCACTCAGTCCGCTGAATAGCCACAGACATCACCTTCTGAAACACAGGCTCGGCCATGTCATTTCCCATGACATATAAAATAAAGTTTAAATTATATCTTCTGGCATTTAAAACACTCCCAGTGTGACCTTGGTGCGTACTTCCCCCTGTTCCTCTTTCCGGGCATCCTTCTTGCTTTGACATCATGTTGGGCTAATTGCCTGTTCTTCCATGACCCCTACCCTCCACCATCTTCAGGCCTTGGGTTCATCTATACAATGTATCTAAAATGCTTTTTCCCATCTCCTTCCAGTTTTCAAAGTCTAATCAATTATTCAAGCAGCAAGTAGAATAACTGCCATAAAGGCCTTCTAACATCTTACATCACAATGTAATTTTAATTTTCAATGTATAATGGAGCTGAACTGAGTCCTTATAAACAGAAGGCACTCTGCTCCTATTTCTAGTGCTACTTTCATATTAAACAGTCCAGGCTGTTCAGACTACAAGGCATGAGAAGTGCAACTGCCCAACACACACACTGGTCACAGAATGAATGCTTCTGGTCTTTGTCTTGATAAGATGCCATAAAGAGCCATCCAGTTTTTAGACAGATGGTCAAAACAAATATCTAAGATATCTCTTCATTAAAAAAAAAAACTGTCATCATTTGCTGCATAGATTCAAGATATTGTAACATACTAAAAATAAATAAATTCCTTTACATCAGCATTCGTGTGACTGTTTCATAAGACCACTCACAGAAATGTGATTTTTCTCTAATGATATCTACTACTTAAAGAAATCTGATTCAACTGTTTAATCTGAGCATCTCAGCTCACAAGTTACGCTCTGTTGTGATATTAAAGCAGTAGCAGTCAACAATATGGATGATTTAAGTCATTCATTAAAAAATAAAATAAATTTACTTTTCTCAGACATTTTACATTATTTATGTGTATCATAGAAAGATAGTAATCTAATAAGGTAGAAATGAGGGTGATGATATTCCCCATGGTGTCTAATAAAAAGTACACATTTATCCACTTAGCTCACATGAAATGAACTGAAGTTCAAGTTTCGTTATTGTTGTGTTCAAACATAGGCTATATTATATTAGAAGGAACCTTTGATGATTTATTGTTAAAAATAAGAAATTTTGAAATATGCAAAAGAAGAAATAGAGTAAATGGTGATTGAAACCACCACAGATATAAATAATTGCTATTATACACAAAATATGGAAGCTCCCCCACACCAGCATGAAACCCTAGTTATAGAACAGAAAACACCAGCCAACAGCTGCCATCCTTTATGCTGAGGCATAGGTCTTAAAGCTAAAAATGTATTATCCTTATGGCAAAATGTTATGTCTTACTCCAGGCCTGACTTAAATGAAGCTTTTCCACAAATAAGTCAGTGGCAAAATATAGAACCTCCCTAAATGTTTCTGTACAGTCAGTAATTAGCTGGTGTTTACTTCTCAGTTGCTCTCGACTTGAATTTGAAAACAGGACAAAAAAAGAGAGAGAGAAGAGAAAAAGGAAAGAGAATTGGCTGAGCACCTTGTTCATATTATTGTATATCTCTTTTGATACCTTGAATGTCCTGAACTCTCTTGCCTATAATATTTTTACCTTTTCAAATTGAAAATTTAAGCCAAATGGGATTGTGCTATAATTTAGAGCTGTCTACATAACTTTACATTAAAACTCCCATTATTGATGGTGGATTAGGCTAGAAATTTAAATCTAATCCCAAATGAACCAAGTTTTGAAAACCATGGAGGCCACACCTTGATTTAGAATATGACATTTTAGGGCAGATCGATGGTGATTGGCTTGATGATTGAAAAAAAAGTCAAGCTCTTGGGATTAGGAAGCTGATTTGTCAAAATAAAAAGAAGGGTGTGTTATAAGCAAATTTTTTTTTAATTTAGAAAACTGGGTTGGCAGCGTCAGTTATACTTCATAATTAAATGTTCACATTCTCCTCTCTATCCTGTCAAACTCAAGCAGAGTCAGATGTTTGGGGTCCACCCAGATGAGTGTGTATAACTTCAAAGAGTTTAGGAAAATTTCAAATAGATACTTTTTTAAGTCAACCAGGAGAAACACCCACCAACTTCCCACTTCCCAAAGTGAAAAATGTAAGACTTCTGAAAAGTTCTTTAACTCCAAGTTTTCTTAGAAAAAAAAATAGCTTTCAAATAATAATACATTATAATAGACATGAGATGTGTTCATCCAGGGAAAGCATTTGCTTATTTAATATGCATTTTACTAGTTATAATACTAGCTGGCTGACTTTCTCCTTTTATTTTTTTTGAATTTGAAAACAGGACAAAATTTTTTTTCTGAATTTGAAAACAGGAAGGATAATTGGGAGGATCTTGAAGAATAAATAAAACCCAAGAGAAAAGAAAGATGAGAATATTTCATTGTAGAGAATAAATCTTTGAAAAAGTCAGGAAATCGGGAAAAAATATTCTGTCCAGTGACAGTGATTTATTTAGTGTGGCTGGAATATAGGGGGGAAGAGAAAGTACAAGAGAGAAAAAACTAAAATGCTAGTTTAGGGTAGATTCTGGAAAGTTATAGTCCATTCCAAAGAGTGAATTTTATCCTTTATGTGATAGGTAACCACTGAAGTTCTAAGCAAAAGACATACCTGTTTTTCGAGTCTCACTATGGGCCAGGCATTGTGCTAGACACATGTGTTACTTAAGTCCACACCAAAACTCTTTGAGATAAGACTCTTAACCTATTTTTAATCAACAAATGTAGAAACAAACAGGTGAAAAAAATGATATTAGGATACGTAACTAAGATGAGTAGAAGACCCAAAATTTGAATCCAAGTATGTATGTTTCAAAAGACTTTACATTATTTTATTCTTCTTTCTGAAAGTGACATGATTACTTCATGTTTTGGATTTAACGTAGAAGAAATTTTCAAAGGACACCATCACTGAGGAAGGAAAGCTAAATAAGAACCTAGTTTTGTAGCCCATCAGGAGGCATCAAGGCCTGAACTAGGCCAGCAACAAGGCAATAGGAAGGAGAAGACAAATAAACAATAATTGGTGAGCAGTTTGTTGTGATAAATAATTAAGAGAGAGTAATATCGGATACGTCTAGGGTGTCTGCCCTGGACCCCAAAATTAGAGCAAAGTCCTTCAATTAAAAATGTGCATTAAACAACTTGGAAATAGGACATGGGAGAACTGTAGAAAGAATAAAGCATATGTTTTCAAGAGATTCCACATGCAAAATAAATTATGTAGTGCTTTCAATTAGATAACACCTTATTCTTAATTAACCTACATGTGAAGCAGTCCACCTGTTTTCCCTTCAAAGCTCACTTCATCTAGGACAAAAGCAAAACCATCATCCTTGCTGAGAACAAAAATCAAG